GGGGGCTGACGGCCCCAAAGGCGGCGGGGGGGGCGGTTTGCAGGGACGCCGGTGCGGGTCTGATAGCCTGTGCGGAGGGGACCGGGGCGCTTTCCGGAGAGAGCCGGCAGCGGCCGAGCGGCGCAGCCCTGCAGGGAAAGCTTTCCCCATCCCGCTGGGTTTAGCAAGAGATCAAAAGTGTTTCCTGCCCAGCCTGGGACAAAAGGGCTCGCAGCGTCTGATCCGCGCCGGGGCGGCGAGGGAGCGAGGATGGGACTGTTTGCAACGTGTTGCCGGGGTCATGGCTAGAGGTTCGCTTGCCGCTCAGCCTTGCCTCCTTTCCAGGCAGAAAGGAAGTTTTTGCACTGAAATGCCCAGCCGACCTCTTTGCATTTAGCTGAGCTTGAAGTACAGCGTCTCAGCAGGTCTGATTTTATTCCTTCAGTTCAATTGCGTTTTCCAGATCAGCAGCTCACACCGCCGCCTTGTTCCCACGTGTGGTATTGGGTCACATGAATCAACATGCACTGATTAGGAGACACACAGAAAATATCCTTACAGCTTTGGTGAACACAGGGATCTCTGCTTGACTTTCAGCTAGCATGGAGTATTCATTTTTTTTTTCTGGGAAAGCTGATATTGCCGGGGAAGGGGAGCATGTTTAGGGAGGCTGAGGGTGGCTCTGCAAGGCAGTAGGAGGGTCGGTGCTACCCCACAGCTCGGCACAAGCGCGCACACACACACACACACACACTCCAGCACTGAGCTCCCTCCCGCTGGAGCCTCTCCGCCGGCAGATCAGCGTGCAGGGGAAACGGCCGCTGGCGAAACTTGGGGCCCCAGCCTGCCCCTTGCCAGGGCTTACAAAGAGCCTGCGCGCCACGGGGCTGCCCTGCGCCGTGGGATGTCCTCGGCGGCGGGGCGAGGGTGGGTGAGCGGGCTGGGCCGGGCTGTGTGGGCAGTGCTGCCCACTGGGTTTCGGTGCTGGCACCAGGGAATACAGCCTCCGCTGGCCCAGCCTGTGCCGCGGGCTGCATCCCCCCCAAGGATAGCAGGGCTGCTCCAGCCAAACCTGCTCGGGGTGGGCAGCCCCAGAGCTTCCTCTTGGCTCAGCCCTTCGCCGCTGGGGAAATACCTGCAATTAGGCGGGTGGCTGGTTATGGAGGAGCAGGAGCTCAACTCTCACCCCGAGACGTGCCAGCTCACTGTGGGTTCAGGGATGACTGTCTTGGTGCTCAGCTCCACACTTCTCTTCTTTAGGTTCTTTAAGTATCACTTCTGCTTTAGCTGCTTCCACCTGGCAATGAGGTTCTCAAAGCACAGACTTCTCCAAAGCCTAGTGACCAGCCCAAAGCTGGCAGCCCCTTGCCTCTTTCCAGGAGAGCTGGGCCCTGGTGCTGGAGCCCCGTGGGAGCTGGGGTGGTGGAGAGGTGCTGCTGATGTGCCGCCGAGACCTGTCTGCTCGGTGCGTTGCTTTGGACACTGCAGCCGCCCGGGGTCAGGCAGTCGTGGACCTCGGGGCGGATGGCTCCCCTGCGTTTTCCCCTCTGGCCTCGTGGTTTGGGAGCAGACGGCTCTGACTCCTGCTGCCGGCCCTTGACGTTGGCTATGATTGCAGTGGGCACTGGTGGGACTCGGAGGAAACACCAGCCACCTCCTTCCCATGCCAACAGCTCCCCTGGGAGCATCTCGGCTGAGCAGTGCCGCTCAGCAGGACACGAGCAATGGTTCCCATGCGTGTGACAGCCCCTGTGTGCGTGTGACAGCCCCTGCATGTGGATTTTCATTATCCCATAGGACAAAACTGCTTTTCAGGCTCATCCAGACAGTCATTAAGCTGGTTGAGCTGCAGACCTTGGAGGTATCTGGGGGATGGAGGTATTGACCATGCGAGTGAGTCAGGCTCATCTGCCCTCGCCCAGCAGCAGACAGTATGGAAATGTCGAGCAGGCTTTGAAGTGTAAAGCACAAGCGTGGTTCCCACTCCCGCACAGGATCACATGGCAGGACCAGGGCGCTGAGCAAACAAGCCGGGCTAGTTATTTCTCCCTGCAGTGAGCTTTTCACTTTAGGCTGGTTGGGGCTCAGTTCGGAGGCCACATGAGTACAGGCATCCTCCCCGAGGAGACTAGCAGCTTCCCCATCCAGCACGGCCGCTGCTGTCCCTGCTCTGTTTCCCCTGGTGCTCTCGTGCCTCCGGTTTCACAGGCATGGCTCCATTTCATTTAAGTCGGCATGAAAATTAATTTGTACCTTGTGCGCATGCAGTGGTTTAAGTATGGCCTAAATAGATGGTTTGGAAATTGTAGCCAAGGGACACTCAATAAAAAGGATAGAAAGGAGTTTTATTATAATTATTTTCTGAAGAAAAGAGTTTCTAAACTGCCTTTTGACTTGTAGAGTTGGAAGTCTAATGAGCAGGTGAAGCGTTTCTTTGCATTTGGTGGGGGCTGAGGCTCCTTTGCGCTGAGTTTGGGAGCAGCTGTGTGGGGCAGTGGGAGCGTGGGTTCGGGGTCTCCTCCGGCCGCTGAGCAGCGTCTGAGGTCCATCCCGGTCACAGGGCCTTGGGGACACGGGGCCAGTGCCCTGGGGGCACCCTGCGGGCTCTGGGCACAGCCTGCCCGGGGTCTGAGTCCTGTCCCTCGACGCCGCAGGTCGGGGGCTTTTCCTGGGAGAACTGCGGTGCGGGGAAGGATCCCGTCGTGCTCCAGAGCCTCTCCGTGGCGCCAGACCCCATCACCATCCCGGGGACCCTGCGGATCAGTGCCGCCGG